AACATATATACGTATATTTTTCCGCGATTTCGCAGATTATGGATTCTTGCTCTGATAAGTTCTGTTATGGTGGTACATACGAAAGATCGACACAAGTTAATCGGGGTCGCAGGATGATGAGCTGAGGATTTCTTCTCAAAATCCAACAGGCTTCGTTCCGTGGAAATCCTTCTTTGCTTTCCCGTTTCATTAATTCCTTCCAACCAACTTTTCCATATGAATTGAAAGTCATGTCATAGTACCAAGAGTACCATCTGTTCTGAGGTATTTGCAGACTTGCAATGCATATCAAAACTTGCCAAAAATTCTGTTCCTTTGTGTCCTTTGTTTTTAATACTTTGATAAAAATCATATGAATTCATCAAGTTGTTTGCTAGCTTTTTGAGCTTCAAAAATATCACTTTTCGAGTTTGTATGTTGTTCTGCGCTTGTTGTTGAATAGCATCCTAAGCGGTTCCTCTTCTTTGAGCATCTTCGGTAATACGTAGGCTGTCGATGATCTTGCCTCCATCCTTATTTGAGGATTTATCTCTCATCTGTTAAATTATCCTCTTATATGCATTTCTTTCGGCATTTGCTGTAGTGTTCCAGTGATCTTCACGGTCCTATCTTTCAGAGGTACGCGACGGTTTATTCTGCTTTTTAGCATACTTATCCTTTTCTCCGTGTAATGTTTTCTGTCAATCACCACTTATCCGTTTTAAAGACTATTTGGTCATTCTATATTAATATTTTGCTTATCCTCTTTAATCTGCTCTTGTTTCTAAGCTCTCGATGTGCAATAGTTTTAGAACCACATCCATCTTAATTTCCTGTTTTGTCTCTTACGAGAGGTCTTTAAAGAAATATATGACCGCTACAATCATGTCTTCCCAAGAGTTTCATTCTTTTTAGAGGAAATAATGAGATTTTAGCACTAGGATCTCAGTTATAGAGTCTGAAAAATTCATTCTTTTTGTTAGGTTGTAGAATCCAGACTATGAAGCATAACTCTTGCGAAAATTAGCAAAGCTTAATTTGCATATCTGACTTAAAACCTTCTTCTTTGTCCAACTATATTCAATACATTTTCAAGCAATATTCTTGACGTAATTTAATCGTAGGTAGAAAGGCAAAGATAATTTGACATCTATTTTAGCCTCAGTATCCTTTAACTATATGGAATTTTCCTGACCTCATTCCCCCAACTTGTTGATAAATCTAGGGCAGAGGATGGCTGAGTTCACTAAAGATGTCGTGAATCGTCTGGCAATGTAATACGTCAATGGTCGGAAGCTAAAATAATCACGACCAACATCACAGAGGATGCAGTATGGGGAAGGTTCGTCAAAGTCTCTTTGACACTTTAGCTAATTCGCGAAAGTGAAGTCAGATCGATTATAGAATAAGCAATATGACTTGTTTTCACCTTATTTCGTTTAAGGTGACGAAGGACTGGTAGTAGAATTTACTCACAATGATATGAGTAGAGCTGACGTTTTCATTAAATTTCACATTGCCTTGCATTCCAAAAGGTGTTCTCACCCAGGGTGGACGGCAGTTTCGACCTTGCCTATGTCCTCTCAACACCCCCAGCTGGAGTCGAACCATGACAATGCAGCGTTTAAGCTCGACACATTAATCACTACGCCACATTACCATGAGTGCACTTAGGTCACAGGGCAGATGTGAATTTCAAGGAATGTCAGGCATTTTCCATATTACATTCTGTGTTGTGATTGTCGATGAAGTAAACGTATATTTGCTATAGCAATTGACGACATTACTGTTTTCGTGAGTAAGTATGTTTTCTCGAAAACCTACTCTCATCTGACGACTTTACTTCGTGCACCTCCTGTCTACTTTAGTTAATCAATAGAGTGCAATCTTCTGGGTTGCATGATAGATATTTTCAAAGAAAGAGACCGCTTAAAAATTAACTTTATCTAATTGATGTCACGGAAACGGTTCAGTCTAGTCTTCCTATAATCTAAAGGTCTTCCTTTTTCAGTGTCGTGATTTATTTGGCTTTTTCGTTATCATTAACAACTCAACAAATCAGGTAGCAGATATTGGCACTCGTATCGTGGATAGCAACAAGATTTATCTGTTCTTCTTCAGTCCCTTTACATACATAAGCTAGACGTAAGATTAGGCTACTCTTCACTAGTCCGAGCTATTCCTTTGCTATCTCACACATGACAAAGCCATCTGTCTTGCTATAAGCCCATCTAAATGGGTTAATATCTGATTACTTTTTTCCCAACTAAGTCCAAACTTGTTCCCAGCATTTTTTCCATATCGGCTAGTTCTGCATTGCTAGCTGAATTAATATGAAGTGAACCATTATATTTACGTTTCATAGCTACTTTCCCTTCCGTTCTTGCTTGAGGCTCAGCCTATGCTGCATGTAAACACGGTTACGGTGACCGCTGACCATTTTCGCTTTGACATGCTTATGAGGAAACTTCATCAAAAATCTGTCAAGGGACTTCCGCTGTGCATCTTGCAATAAATACACAAATAATCCGCATTAACATTCTACGAAATATTTTCTACATTACTTTTAATCGCCTAGATTGATGGACGAATGTTTACTTAACTCTTTGTTAAGAAGGAAATGACGTTTAGCTCTGACATATACCCTGATAGGATATACCCAAAATAATGTATATATCCCGACTTTGCTCCTAAGCGGCAGCAGAGTGAGTAACCTTTCCCCGAAAAGAGTGTTTGCTTTCTCTCAAAAATTATTTAAATATATTTTAGAAAACTCTATCTGGATCAGTAAGATATCCTGACGAAATCTAAAAGTGTCAAGTCGCTACGTGAAAAGTCCATATGCTAAATAATAATATATTCATCGTGAGTGTATTTTGAGACTATCGGTAGGTATTGGAAAGAAACTCTAGCCAGTCTGGACTGTTTAAGATAATGTAGGGATTGATACTAAACTTAACCTTTCTCCTTTTAATTAAATAGGAGACATATTGTTAAAGCCACTTATTCAGTTCGCCGGAACGGACGTCTCCTCATGGTTCGACGAAAAGACAGGCGATGTTCGATATCTAGTGGATCCTATCACCAACTGTAAAACACCATATGTTCCATTCGGCCGGTTTGTACACATACCGCCGAACTACCCAACTACCGATTGGTGCAACAACTTTGGAACGCCTTGGTGGAAAAATGAAAAGTATCAGATTGGGTTACTCAGCAAAGATGTCCGCCTAATTAAGATAATAAATACGCTTACTCTGCATGAGGACACAATTGAGGCAAGTGCTCAAACCGTTGCTTTACTCCTGACCAATCATCAAATACGTTTATACAAAATACCCGCATACATTAGCTATTTTATCGTCTTACGCACAATGAAACCCCCCCTATGAACCACTTGGTATAGGCCTTGAAGGTCTATGGCAAGTATAGCAACGATAATTGCGACATGATTATCCGTTTCGTGGTGGTCTCCCCGCAAAACCAAAGGAGAATTGTAGCGTAGTGAAGACTGTTGAATTGTGCGAAGAAGTTTTTTAGCTCACCGTCCCGCGAGACCGATGAACCGGTGCTCAGCTTTTGTCTGTACCGCCGTAGCAGACATCATCAGGGTCAGAATCCATACTTTACGAAATAGAGCAAAAATATACTAAACCAAAAGAAAAG